TTTAAGAAAAGAGATATAAATAATGGTGACATTATAATAAGTTTGTTTTTAAAAAATGCAACAAATGGACACTAGCAGAATAATATTTCAGAATCGAGTGTCCAAAACATAGGGTGGAAATGAACTTGTACCTTGGGGTGCGCAAGCAATACATGAACGATATCTTGCCATTGTGTTGAAATGAACCCTGTCAATAGATGTAAATTGCATGCAACAAGAGTTGAATGCAAAAGAGGCATATCACTGAAAGCATGGCATTCCTGCAACATGAGTTAATCTTAATATCGAAACAAGACAGAGAAAGATCTACTGTAATGAACCAAACAATTTAAAACCTTTCTGTATCCACCAAGAACAATTAGCATGTAGAAAACCAAGTCAGTCAGCTGTTCCATAATTTTCACATCATCTAGCAAAATCTGAAATCATATTGTGATACAAAAATCAGAACCACAGCATCACTATAATTTTCAAAAAGCAATACACACACATTGAATAAAGTGTGCAGGGTCATGAAAACTCAAAAATACTTATATTTCTTTGCCAAACAATGACCCCCATATTAGTATGATGTGAACTGCAAAGAAATTAATGTAATAAAAGTAAATATTCCATGCAGGTAAAAAACTCCTACCAACCTAATCCCTTATTTTTAACAAAAGGGCATTATTTAGTGTCCGACCAATGCTGTTCAAACTAAAGAGGAATTTTAATAAATATCGTTCTTCAACATTTAAATAATGTGTCTTTGCCACACACGTGGAAAACACAAAAAATTTTAACAACGAGCAAATAAGATAAATTGTAAACAGGCTTATTAATATTAACCTGCTCGAATTTAGAATTTCGGGAGGCTAAATCACACAAGGAATGCAATAGTCGAATGCCACGTAACAAGTATCTGAACAAGGCTTCATTTCTGACAGCTGACATCAACAGGGTACTGAGATGCAACGGAAGAGATCCCGCAAGTTTTTCCATATCAATCTGTGCATGTTACAAAAAATAACAATATGATAAAAAAAAATATCAAATAGCATTATGAAGTTGAGTATAAGACAACCTTCAGCGTTGATCCTTTTTCAGTAAGGTGCTGAATAGTGAAATTTTCAGAGTCTCTCAATAATTTATTGAGATCCAGAACAGTGACCCCTTGCAATTCCTTCACTGCTGATATCAAGCTTATTGCCTGTTCAAGTTAATAAATAGAAGATATTCACACTCCAGCCATTGAGAATGATAATAGGGGGTAGGAGGGTCTCATGGATCCAAGTTATAATTAAGAGTTAACCACTTGCCTGTGCAGCACTGCTCGATGATTCTTCCTTGGCAATCCTCATTCTTGAGAAACGATAAGAAGACTGGAAAAACAAACATTGCGTCATTATCAAGATGCAACAAAACATGTAAGACACATACATAGATCAAGTAATTAATATCCAAGGGCATGACTTGTAAGCCTAAGATAATAGAACATTTTACAATTTGGAACAGAAGTTGTCAGTTCATGTCAACAACACTAGGAAGAGCCAAAGGCTTGATGGCAGACATTTCTTGCACCCAGAACAGGCTAATATTTCATGAAAAAAAAGTATCGATGAAGCACAAGAATTTTAACTATTTTTCAATGTCGCATCTTGTTTAGTCATCAAAGCAGATTTAACTTCCTCTCCAGAGGGCAACACATGGGCACACCACATGTTCTAAATATGAGATTGACCTTCAGTGCACAGAATTACAAAGCATGAAGCAATTCACCAATAAAACAAATTTAACATCACAAATTCATCTTCAAAGTTATAACGGGGTAGGGGGTTCTCCAGTATTCCGGTCCGACATCTATTACTGCAATCACTAAGTTTAGCATTTATTAAAAAAACTCTTTTACCTATATAAATTTTCGTAATTTTGTTAGAAATTTGGGCAAATCACTAAAGAGATAGTATTTAGTACCCACAGCAATTACACTTTTCGGATACTGGACAAAACATGTAATTTGTCATCAATAATGTTCATCTAGGTCATCCAGCAATCTCCCCCTATGGGACATATAACTTATATAAGATCTCAAAAATGGAATCAAATAAAATACAGAATCATGCATTTAATCCCTTAACCAATCTGTAGAAGATATTGATGTTATCTCAAGAATTTCCTAACCATGCAGATTATGCAAAATGTTATTCTGCTTAAAAAAATGACATAGACAATAAAAGAAATAGATTTATAACTCTTACAGTGTCTCCGAATTTGATAGCCTCAATAAAACCACAATCTAGGTCACAAAATTCTAACCATGGAAAGATTCATAAATCCAATCATGAAAAACAGTGACCAGAGAAAATTGGTAATTACCAAAGCTTGAATATTGACCCAAACGATAAATCTGGTTTCATAAAAGCATCTGTCAGTGTTGTTTGGCACTGAGAAAAAAGGATGCAGCAGCTCGAGAGGATAGAAGGGTTAGTCCAATAGGGTTCGTATGATGAGAAAGTCTAGTCGAGTCTTCTAGTATGTCTTTTTATACACGTAAAACGTAAGCAATTCATTTACCATTTCCCAGTGCAAATATTGACTCATTAACATAACATTCTTATACTTAAAATTACGTTAAATGTTTGTAATTCTTAATGAGAAATGGGAAAATTCTAAATTTTGATATATTCTAATTTTTAAATTTAAAAAATTGATATAATCGTCTTAACTTAATACTAAATATTTTTTTAGTATTAAACAATACTTCAAACATTTTAATAATAAATCATTCAAACATCCGTTTAAAACATTATTTCACAAGTTAAAAATAATTTTAATAATTAAATTAAAATAACTATGTTTATTTATTTTTAAATTTTAAAAATTAAACTATATTAAAATTTGATATATAAACACATTTTAATTTTACGTTAAAATTTAAAAATATATTTGATTTTTTAAAAGATTATGTTACACGTGTTTTCAATTATTTACATATAATAAAGAATTTTGTTGGTTATAATTTTATTTTCCTTTTAATTGTGAACATTTCTATCTTTTCGTTTTTTTAGCAAACAAATATTAACATGAACCTTTCAACAGGAATATTTATTTCAATTAAATTTCACATTAGAATATCACCCTAGTTTTAATTAAATTTCATCCTTGTTTGAACTTTTGTAAACTTCTTAACAAGAATACCAAAATTTAACTCTTTAATCAATGTTCAATATTAATAGCATATAGTTATTGCAATATGTTTTAATTTATAACAATTAATAGAGGTGATTATTATGTTTGTTTGGTGTATGCAGATTTTGTTCAAAATTATCCTTTTAAGATATATTTGTTTCTTCTACTCTCACGTGAAAGATTTTAATACCTACAAAATTATCTTTAATCGAATTATATTTTATAATTTTCATTAAATATAAAACTTTGTAGATTTAAATATATAATTAAGAATTCGTAAAAGTAAAGGGTGTTGTCAACACTAATCTTAACTAATAAGATGCATGGTTTATCGTTGGTGTATAAAATTATGAATATGTAATTGTGCATCGCGTTAAGTGTTCTTATGTGATTGTATGTTGGAAAATGTTAGGTTTGCAGGTGGCTAGAGTTTCTTGTCATTTCATAGATGAGTCTAAGAATACACATTATATGAGTTTGTTAATATATTAGTTAGATTAGTAACAATATGTTAGACGAGTTTATTTCACTCACATAATAGATGAATCTATTAATATACATTAGACAACTCTCTCAATTCTATGACGACATTATTAAAGTTTGTTTATATACCAATTAGACGAGTCTTACAATGTACATTATTCAAATTTGTTTATATACTAATTAGACGAGTCTAACAATACATATTAGACGAGTAAAGTTGAGTATAAGACAACCTTCAGCGTTGATCCTTTTTCAGTAAGGTGCTGAATAGTGAAATTTTCAGAGTCTCTCAATAATTTATTGAGATCCAGAACAGTGACCCCTTGCAATTCCTTCACTGCTGATATCAAGCTTATTGCCTGTTCAAGTTAATAAATAGAAGATATTCACACTCCAGCCATTGAGAATGATAATAGGGGGTAGGAGGGTCTCATGGATCCAAGTTATAATTAAGAGTTAACCACTTGCCTGTGCAGCACTGCTCGATGATTCTTCCTTGGCAATCCTCATTCTTGAGAAACGATAAGAAGACTGGAAAAACAAACTAAGAAAGCTTCTTCTCCATAGGATCCTCAGTGTCAATCCAGTTTAATTAAAAAAATTAACTGGTGAAGGAAATAAAATGCATAAAACAGTGTGATATTTGACGGAAAAAAAGTACGAAGAATATTCCATTAGATCTAGACGCAAATAAGCACATACAAAAAATTACCTAGAGGTAGGTCACTATTCCGTTTTAGAAAACTACCTGTTATTATCAACAGAGGTGTCAAGTGTTATACCATCACGCAAGAAAAACTCATGGTTGAAAATTTATATCATAAAAAAAATTGGTTGTGATGCCTAGAGAAAGGTAAAGCTGCTAAGGAAGAGGAGAAGATCTAACAATAATTTTTCCAGGGAAGTGGAAAAAAAAAAGTGATACAAAAAAAAAATTATCCTTCTTAGAAAGGAAAAACTACCAACCAACTAAGAAAACAAAACAAAGTGTCAAGCACCATGTAAATAGACAAAGAGACTTGATAACATGTGCTAGCCAAGCACAACAATGAGTAAAAATGTCCAAAATTGACACACTGCTACGTTTTTGGTTGTTTCTCAATTAAGGGGGAGAGGGTCGTTTTGAAGGAGAGTAAAAAGATGTAAACTGCTGGTGACGTTTTCTTTCTAGAAGAAAGGCATATTTACATAACCTTAATTGAAGGAATTTGGCTAGAATTTGTTTACGTAGGTACCCAATTTCAATAAATTATATAACAACCAAGACAGGGGATGCAACCAAGCTCCTTGTCTCCTATCAAACTCTAGACGAATTTTGTCAAGTATAAATATACATTCAGACATATATCTATATATCTATATATCTATATATATATATATATATATATATATATACACACACATACATACATATATTCAGAGACACAGATTTTCCTTTCCATATTTAAGAAGATTGTAAGATTCGAAACCTTATTCTTTAGCAGGCGCTCCTTAAACAATTTCTGTTGGCAAAGTGCCTGAAGAAACTGCAGAGAAGCTTCACACTGCTGGCAGAGATAATAAACTATTTGTTCTGCAGTAAGATTTGATTCCACAGAAACATCTTCTTGATATGCTCCAAGTGTATTCTCAAGAAAACTAACAACCATGCGAACTGATCCAAAAGCTGCATCCATAAATATGTCAATCTGTCATATAATTCATGATTAGCCACAGAACCACAATGTATTACCAGAAAATAAACAAAATAACATAGTTAATAGATGTATTTATTAGACATTATAAAACCATTCATATGCTTTCACCTCATACCTTAAGCTTTTGAGGAGAATTGGTTTGAAACAGAGGTTAAAGGAAAAAAAAATATTATTAGCTGACTGGAAAGAAATTCTAAAATGCATGCAACAACTGGATTGAAAGAAATGATACCCAATTTGTATTGTGTTCGTTTTTATTTTTTAAGTTTAGAGAGCAACAGAAATTTCAGATAGAAAAGTGAAATTTAAGAAAAGAGATATAAATAATGGTGACATTATAATAAGTTTGTTTTTAAAAAATGCAACAAATGGACACTAGCAGAATAATATTTCAGAATCGAGTGTCCAAAACATAGGGTGGAAATGAACTTGTACCTTGGGGTGCGCAAGCAATACATGAACGATATCTTGCCATTGTGTTGAAATGAACCCTGTCAATAGATGTAAATTGCATGCAACAAGAGTTGAATGCAAAAGAGGCATATCACTGAAAGCATGGCATTCCTGCAACATGAGTTAATCTTAATATCGAAACAAGACAGAGAAAGATCTACTGTAATGAACCAAACAATTTAAAACCTTTCTGTATCCACCAAGAACAATTAGCATGTAGAAAACCAAGTCAGTCAGCTGTTCCATAATTTTCACATCATCTAGCAAAATCTGAAATCATATTGTGATACAAAAATCAGAACCACAGCATCACTATAATTTTCAAAAAGCAATACACACACATTGAATAAAGTGTGCAGGGTCATGAAAACTCAAAAATACTTATATTTCTTTGCCAAACAATGACCCCCATATTAGTATGATGTGAACTGCAAAGAAATTAATGTAATAAAAGTAAATATTCCATGCAGGTAAAAAACTCCTACCAACCTAATCCCTTATTTTTAACAAAAGGGCATTATTTAGTGTCCGACCAATGCTGTTCAAACTAAAGAGGAATTTTAATAAATATCGTTCTTCAACATTTAAATAATGTGTCTTTGCCACACACGTGGAAAACACAAAAAATTTTAACAACGAGCAAATAAGATAAATTGTAAACAGGCTTATTAATATTAACCTGCTCGAATTTAGAATTTCGGGAGGCTAAATCACACAAGGAATGCAATAGTCGAATGCCACGTAACAAGTATCTGAACAAGGCTTCATTTCTGACAGCTGACATCAACAGGGTACTGAGATGCAACGGAAGAGATCCCGCAAGTTTTTCCATATCAATCTGTGCATGTTACAAAAAATAACAATATGATAAAAAAAAATATCAAATAGCATTATGAAGTTGAGTATAAGACAACCTTCAGCGTTGATCCTTTTTCAGTAAGGTGCTGAATAGTGAAATTTTCAGAGTCTCTCAATAATTTATTGAGATCCAGAACAGTGACCCCTTGCAATTCCTTCACTGCTGATATCAAGCTTATTGCCTGTTCAAGTTAATAAATAGAAGATATTCACACTCCAGCCATTGAGAATGATAATAGGGGGTAGGAGGGTCTCATGGATCCAAGTTATAATTAAGAGTTAACCACTTGCCTGTGCAGCACTGCTCGATGATTCTTCCTTGGCAATCCTCATTCTTGAGAAACGATAAGAAGACTGGAAAAACAAACATTGCGTCATTATCAAGATGCAACAAAACATGTAAGACACATACATAGATCAAGTAATTAATATCCAAGGGCATGACTTGTAAGCCTAAGATAATAGAACATTTTACAATTTGGAACAGAAGTTGTCAGTTCATGTCAACAACACTAGGAAGAGCCAAAGGCTTGATGGCAGACATTTCTTGCACCCAGAACAGGCTAATATTTCATGAAAAAAAAGTATCGATGAAGCACAAGAATTTTAACTATTTTTCAATGTCGCATCTTGTTTAGTCATCAAAGCAGATTTAACTTCCTCTCCAGAGGGCAACACATGGGCACACCACATGTTCTAAATATGAGATTGACCTTCAGTGCACAGAATTACAAAGCATGAAGCAATTCACCAATAAAACAAATTTAACATCACAAATTCATCTTCAAAGTTATAACGGGGTAGGGGGTTCTCCAGTATTCCGGTCCGACATCTATTACTGCAATCACTAAGTTTAGCATTTATTAAAAAAACTCTTTTACCTATATAAATTTTCGTAATTTTGTTAGAAATTTGGGCAAATCACTAAAGAGATAGTATTTAGTACCCACAGCAATTACACTTTTCGGATACTGGACAAAACATGTAATTTGTCATCAATAATGTTCATCTAGGTCATCCAGCAATCTCCCCCTATGGGACATATAACTTATATAAGATCTCAAAAATGGAATCAAATAAAATACAGAATCATGCATTTAATCCCTTAACCAATCTGTAGAAGATATTGATGTTATCTCAAGAATTTCCTAACCATGCAGATTATGCAAAATGTTATTCTGCTTAAAAAAATGACATAGACAATAAAAGAAATAGATTTATAACTCTTACAGTGTCTCCGAATTTGATAGCCTCAATAAAACCACAATCTAGGTCACAAAATTCTAACCATGGAAAGATTCATAAATCCAATCATGAAAAACAGTGACCAGAGAAAATTGGTAATTACCAAAGCTTGAATATTGACCCAAACGATAAATCTGGTTTCATAAAAGCATCTGTCAGTGTTGTTTGGCACTGAGAAAAAAGGATGCAGCAGCTCGAGAGGATAGAAGGGTTAGTCCAATAGGGTTCGTATGATGAGAAAGTCTAGTCGAGTCTTCTAGTATGTCTTTTTATACACGTAAAACGTAAGCAATTCATTTACCATTTCCCAGTGCAAATATTGACTCATTAACATAACATTCTTATACTTAAAATTACGTTAAATGTTTGTAATTCTTAATGAGAAATGGGAAAATTCTAAATTTTGATATATTCTAATTTTTAAATTTAAAAAATTGATATAATCGTCTTAACTTAATACTAAATATTTTTTTAGTATTAAACAATACTTCAAACATTTTAATAATAAATCATTCAAACATCCGTTTAAAACATTATTTCACAAGTTAAAAATAATTTTAATAATTAAATTAAAATAACTATGTTTATTTATTTTTAAATTTTAAAAATTAAACTATATTAAAATTTGATATATAAACACATTTTAATTTTACGTTAAAATTTAAAAATATATTTGATTTTTTAAAAGATTATGTTACACGTGTTTTCAATTATTTACATATAATAAAGAATTTTGTTGGTTATAATTTTATTTTCCTTTTAATTGTGAACATTTCTATCTTTTCGTTCTTTTAGCAAACAAATATTAACATGAACCTTTCAACAGGAATATTTATTTCAATTAAATTTCACATTAGAATATCACCCTAGTTTTAATTAAATTTCATCCTTGTTTGAACTTTTGTAAACTTCTTAACAAGAATACCAAAATTTAACTCTTTAATCAATGTTCAATATTAATAGCATATAGTTATTGCAATATGTTTTAATTTATAACAATTAATAGAGGTGATTATTATGTTTGTTTGGTGTATGCAGATTTTGTTCAAAATTATCCTTTTAAGATATATTTGTTTCTTCTACTCTCACGTGAAAGATTTTAATACCTACAAAATTATCTTTAATCGAATTATATTTTATAATTTTCATTAAATATAAAACTTTGTAGATTTAAATATATAATTAAGAATTCGTAAAAGTAAAGGGTGTTGTCAACACTAATCTTAACTAATAAGATGCATGGTTTATCGTTGGTGTATAAAATTATGAATATGTAATTGTGCATCGCGTTAAGTGTTCTTATGTGAATGTATGTTGGAAAATGTTAGGTTTGCAGGTGGCTAGAGTTTCTTGTCATTTCATAGATGAGTCTAAGAATACACATTATATGAGTTTGTTAATATATTAGTTAGATTAGTAACAATATGTTAGACGAGTTTATTTCACTCACATAATAGATGAATCTATTAATATACATTAGACAACTCTCTCAATTCTATGACGACATTATTAAAGTTTGTTTATATACCAATTAGACGAGTCTTACAATGTACATTATTCAAATTTGTTTATATACTAATTAGACGAGTCTAACAATACATATTAGACGAGTACGTCCATATACTACTTAGATGAGTCTAACAACACATATTGAATCAGTTTGTCATTACATTGATTAAACAAACATAACAATATACATTACATCAATTTATTCGTACACTAATTTATATTCTTAGTGAGTCAATACTACATATGCTTTACACATGTTTAGTTTCTATTCTATTTTTGCACATGTTTTATTTTTTTATTTTTACAAAGTCTACTATTTATATTTTCATAAATATAAAACATTGTTAATGATAAATAAATCACTAAAAATATTAAAATGACAAAAAATAATCATATCAAATGTGAATCCAAAAAATCCAATTTACATCCACAAAAAAAAAAAGTCTCCAATCCAAAAAATTAAATTTGCATCCATAAAAAAATATATCTCATATTGAGTAAGAAATAATAATAATTTACAAGAATAAAAATAATTCTAACAAAGTTAAGTAAAACAACAACTACTATCAATGTAAATGAAAAAAAAAAACTAGTCATCCTATCAACATGTCTTGATCAAGTTAACTAAAATTAAATTAAAAAATACAAAGAAAGTAAATATGAATTTAAAAAATATAATTTTTTATTCTTAACTAAAATTTGGAATTTTATAATTTTAAATATCTTAATTATTTTGCATAAATTTCTATGATTTCAATTCCCTTATTTTTTTTTTTAAAATAACACATTTTATCATAGAATGTTTTAGATTATCTAAAAGAAACAATTATCTCTTAAAATTTCCCATCCAGATGTATTAAAGAAAATAGAAATATGGGAAAGGTAGAAACAAACACCACTTTAATCATGTTACAAATATCAAACATCCTCAAAAACTAAGATTTCAATTTCTACCAAAATTTCAAAACTTCCAAGAAGAAAAAAAAACAATTTATTTTTCTAACCTCACCATTCTTGATTTCTTGGTCTCCATCTTTTATTTAAACCAATCTAACAACTTCTAGCCTATCACAGACTAATTATTATCTCATCTACATTTTAATAGTAAGATTTTAATTTTAAACAAATAATTAATAAATAAAATACTTAATAATCAAATGCACAACCTTGCATGTTAATGTCTCTTGTAAATTAAATCTCAATTAAATTAAAACAAATACCTTGTTATTCACACATTAAATTAAAAATAAGCTGCAAAAACTATATAGTTACAAATAAGTATCATTTAATATAGCGCGTGTAAATCTTAATTATTTGATACAGAAACAAACACCAATAAATATTAAATATATCTAATAAGAATTAAATATATTAAAGTTTCTTAGTTGTTTTGTTTGATAATTTTTTATTATCATTAATTGAAGTGTTTAAAAAGAGAAAAGCAGTTGAATTACCTACCTGCATTGATTTTGGATGAAACGTGAAGTGTCACTAAAATGCTTCCGTTTCTGTTACACTCACTTTTATATATACCACGGTGTTTTCACGCTTCGTATAGGATATCAAGTGTAAACTGCAAAATCTCTGTAATCTTCTGGTCCATTGAACTAGCGAAGAAGATGGAGATTGGTCTTTCTCCCAAGTTGGCGAAGAAAGTTTATGAAGGCGTTGGTGGGTCCTACTTCGCCTGGTCCCCCTTTTAGCTTCCCATGCTTCGCGAAGGTAACATTGGTGCAGCCAAACTTTCTCTGCACAAAAATGGGTTCGCCCTTCCTCGATATTCTGACTCCTCCAAAGTCGCCTATGTTCTTCAAGGTATCTTCGCTCTGTTACTTCTTTTAATACGTTCAATCGTTGTCCTCAATCAGTTGTGTTTTTAATATTATACAACTGATCCGAATTATTGGTATGGGAAATTTCTCGGTGTCAGTTATTTTCTTCTGAATTTTTATTGGATGATTCTTTTCCGATGCATCGATTTGTGAAGGTAACTTGTCGTATGTGAAATCGGATATTGATTTAATAGCTTATTTGAGATTTTATGTTAAAAAAATGGGATCCTTAGTGTTATCTCATTTTTGTTTTGGAAATTAAGGATCTAATTAAATATTCTTTTTGACTTTGTAATACTTGTTTTGAAGTCATGTTTACCTTGACCTATCCGTATTTTCAAATTAAACTAAATTTTTGTAAGGGTGTGTTTGTATTTTATAATTTTTTTTTCAAAATCTAGCTAAAGAAGATTGCTTAGGCAAGGAGTGAGAGAGATTGAAAAGGTTGAAAAGGGAAGATGTGAAAAAGTTTTCTCTATTTCTGTTTTGTTGGTTTTTAGAACAATTATTTCAAAATATTTCTCAAAACTTAACAAATTAATAAGAAATTAATTGCTGATCAATGTGATATTGATTTAGATGAGTTTATTTTTATATTTTTATATTTTTAAAATTCATTTATTTAGAAAAGTTTATGAACCTGAAATAAGACAAAAAGGGGATTAAACAAGCCCTGAGTGATTCTTTGTTTCAAATTATGAAATTTATGTTATTGTACTGATTATTTGTGAATTTATGTATTTTATAATTTTATTATTTATTTTTTTCAAAATGTAGCCAAAGAATGCTTAGGTAAAAAGTGAGAAAGATTGAAAAGGATGAAAATGGAAGATGTGAAAAAGTTTTTTTTTTTAAAATTTCTGTTTTGTTGGTTTTTAGAACAATTATTTCGAAATATTTCTCAAAACTTAATGAAATTAATAAAAAGTTAATTGTTGAGTTTATTTTTATATTTTTAAAATACATTGATTTAGAAAAGTTTATGAAACCTGAAATGAAGTGATTATTGTACTGATTATTTGTGAATTTGTGTTATGTTATTGTACTGACATAGGAAGTGGAGTGGCTGGAATAGTGCTGCCTGAATCAGAAGAGAAGGTTGTTGCAATCAAGAAGGGGGATGCGCTCGCACTCCCCTTTGGTGTTGTAACATGGTGGTATAACAAAGAAGAAACTGAGTTGATTGTTCTGTTTCTTGGGAACACTTCCAAGGCTCACAAGGCTGGTGAATTCACTGACTTTTTTCTGACTGGTTCCAATGGAATCTTCACGGGATTTTCCACTGAGTTTGTGGGCAGAGCTTGGGACTTGGAAGAGAGTGATGTCAAGACCCTTGTTGGAAAACAATCGGGCAAAGGGGTTGTGCAGTTGGAAGGAAGCATCACACTACCCGAGCCTAAACCAGAGCACCNTTTTTTTCAAAATCTAGCTAAAGAAGATTGCTTAGGCAAGGAGTGAGAGAGATTGAAAAGGTTGAAAAGGGAAGATGTGAAAAAGTTTTCTCTATTTCTGTTTTGTTGGTTTTTAGAACAATTATTTCAAAATATTTCTCAAAACTTAACAAATTAATAAGAAATTAATTGCTGATCAATGTGATATTGATTTAGATGAGTTTATTTTTATATTTTTATATTTTTAAAATTCATTTATTTAGAAAAGTTTATGAACCTGAAATAAGACAAAAAGGGGATTAAACAAGCCCTGAGTGATTCTTTGTTTCAAATTATGAAATTTATGTTATTGTACTGATTATTTGTGAATTTATGTATTTTATAATTTTATTATTTATTTTTTTCAAAATGTAGCCAAAGAATGCTTAGGTAAAAAGTGAGAAAGATTGAAAAGGATGAAAATGGAAGATGTGAAAAAGTTTTTTTTTTTAAAATTTCTGTTTTGTTGGTTTTTAGAACAATTATTTCGAAATATTTCTCAAAACTTAATGAAATTAATAAAAAGTTAATTGTTGAGTTTATTTTTATATTTTTAAAATACATTGATTTAGAAAAGTTTATGAAACCTGAAATGAAGTGATTATTGTACTGATTATTTGTGAATTTGTGTTATGTTATTGTACTGACATAGGAAGTGGAGTGGCTGGAATAGTGCTGCCTGAATCAGAAGAGAAGGTTGTTGCAATCAAGAAGGGGGATGCGCTCGCACTCCCCTTTGGTGTTGTAACATGGTGGTATAACAAAGAAGAAACTGAGTTGATTGTTCTGTTTCTTGGGAACACTTCCAAGGCTCACAAGGCTGGTGAATTCACTGACTTTTTTCTGACTGGTTCCAATGGAATCTTCACGGGATTTTCCACTGAGTTTGTGGGCAGAGCTTGGGACTTGGAAGAGAGTGATGTCAAGACCCTTGTTGGAAAACAATCGGGCAAAGGGGTTGTGCAGTTGGAAGGAAGCATCACACTACCCGAGCCTAAACCAGAGCACCGGATTGGCATGGCCTTGAACTGTGAAGAGGCTCCATTGGATGTTGACATCAAGGGTGGTGGAAGGGTTGTGGTGTTGAACACCAAGAATCTTCCCTTGGTTGGTGATGTTGGACTAGGGGCTGACCTTGTGAGGTTGGATGGAGGAGCCATGTGCTCTCCAGGATTCTCTTGTGATTCTGCTTTGCAGGTTACTTATATTGTCAGGGGTAGTGGCCGGGTTCAGGTTGTTGGAGTTGATGGTCATAGGGTTTTGGAGACAACCATAAAAGCTGGTAGTTTGTTCATTGTGCCAAGGTTTTTTGTGGTCTCAAAAATTGCTGATCCAGAGGGAATGGAGTGGTTCTCTATAATCACCACCCCTAAGTAAGCCTTTCTCATCACCTTATTATTGTCGATTCATCTTATTTGTTACTGTTATACATTTTCAGTGCAGAAGTAAGTAACCATTAATTTGATGTTCTTTTTGTTGCTTGAATGGATTTGATATTGGTCCTAACCATGTAGTAAACTTAACCCTTTTTAGTTGATTTGATATTGGTGCTAACCTTGTAGAACCCTTCATTAATCATTGATGAAAAGTGTTGATCCTAATGTACTTACCTGTCTTTATTTGGTTGCAAAATGAAAAGTCCATTGATGAACAACTGTTCTGTATTACTTGATGGTAACCATAAATTTAACATGATGCAATGATCCTTTTTTACTAACCATAATTATTTTCCCTTTGGCAGTCCTATATTCACCCACTTGGCTGGAAGTTCTTCTGTGTGGAAGGCTTTATCACCTTCTGTTCTGCAAGCTGCTTTCAATGTAGATTCAGGCGTGGAGCAACTGTTCCGTTCAAAGAGGACTTCCGATGCTATTTTCTTCCCTCCACCAAATTAGAATAAAAATTCCACCAATCCACCGTTATCGTTTGGTTGTAAAGGTTCCCCCATCCCGTCTTAACGGAAAATAAAAGGGGTAACGGAATCACCGAATTAGTGGAATTACTTTACTGTTCGAAAGTGTTTTCTTTATTCGAATTATTTCACCTTACATGCTCTTTGATCCTTTCTTTTTAACCAACTTTTATTTTTATTCTTTTATATCATTCAAGATAATGACCACAGTTATATATTCCTAAACAACAGATACTGGAGATAGATGCTTATAATTACAAAAAGGAAAATGACACTTGAACAACCATTTTTGACAACATTTAGACACGCGCACACGTGTCTAAATGTTGTCAAAAATGGTTGTTCAAGTATCATTTTCCTTACAAAAAACCAATATGTATTATTCAAACTCGAACATTTATGTTTTTTCCCCATTCCATTTTGCTGAAATTCTAGAGTCTACTATTAGAACAAAAACATTGTTTTCATATCATCGTGTGTTTGCTTGTTTAACCATTTCATATATTATACATATTAAGAATATATAAAATAGAACATTTCAAATATAAAATATCATAAAAGTTAAGATATCACTTGAGCAAAACTACTTTGCTTGAACGACTTTTATTCACTAAATAAGGAAAAATTCACGCTCAAATTATACACTTGAACGAAGTCAATTTTAAATGAGAAAGAATTGCTATGACATTTTTAAATTAAATCTTTGTCAATAACATGCTTTTGTTCTTCATTCGTCAACATTTTATTATAAAATATTTACATTTTTTTAAAAATCATAATTTTTTTTTGTAAAAATTATTTATTAATATTATATTAGCAAAACTTTAAAATCCAATGAATCTCAAAATATTGTTTGGATTAAAAGTTTAAATTAAATAAATATCAAACTAAATTTAGCATATATTATTTTCACAAAAAAGAAAGCTAGCTCCTCTCTTATAGCATCGCAATGGAATACGAATTTGGACCAGTTAAAATCTCTTTACATTCGATTTCCCCTTCCATCCTCATTTTACACAAACTTTTGCATCTTATAATAGTGAGCTTTTCACAAATGTTATCATTCATGTGTTTATAACGAAACCAGTAGTTAATCATTTGATGCGAGTAACGTTCATGCACAGGTCATTGATCTTCATATTTGTTTTCCACGTGTTCTGGTATTTTCCTTTTCCAGCAGTCCAAGATTTAGCCAAAGAAATAAAAGCAACCAAACATCAGGTACAAAGTTAGATAGCACTCTTTTCTCTTCTACACAAATAATGATGTGTCATAAATTGACCATTAAGATCAATTTAGTTTCAAAATCAAAACCAAAACCAAAAGATGAAACACTAGTTGTGAAATATTAGTCCCACTATAGCTATATCAGTCAATTTGACCTTTCTTACATGATTTGACCTTGATCCATGTGGATTGAGGTTTGAAAAACCAAAATATTTATAAAAGCCTTGTGGGTCAGACTAATCCATGAACTATTTTTTTTAAAAAAAATATTCATTTTGAATATAAGAAAATAGTAGGTCACATATTAATTTTGAAATGTTTATCATATTTTCTATCATATCACCAACTTTCATTTTATTTTTGTTAGTATTAACTTATAACCATAATTGATTAATGTGTAATTATATTTTTTGCGAATAAAATTAATTTTCTATTTTACTATTATTTCTATATTAATTAGTTTATGAACGATGCTTTTATATAATTATTCATTAATTTTCAAATTCTTGATAATGTTTTTTAAAGCAGGTATTTTAGTTGACATTACGGGAAATAAATAAATAAGTACACGAACGAAATAAAATATTGGAACCAGTAATAACATTTGTATACAAAATTTCATAATCAAATGCTTTCAAACATGATAATATTTCAGGCTTTATCAATAACATTTTAATTTTGAATTAATTTATATTTTTTTCAAAATACGATTTGTTTCTAGTTAGCTAGTTTATTAGAAATTTTTAGTTAGTTTATTTTTCATTAGATTTATTGGAGGTTCAGAGAGAGAAAGTGAGATGCACCTTGGGCAAATGAAAAACGAACCAGAATTTGTAAAAAGAAAGTGTTTATTTTATCACCAAAAATCACTATATGCATTACCTAATGGAAAGAAAAGTATATAAAATAATAGATGGCCGGTGCCGAAAGCTTGGCTTGTTCATAGCTCTTAAATGCATAATTTATACTGTATATATATTAGTTTGGAACGAAATATGTTGTAATTAATGTTTTATTGGGACGTTATATACTGTAATTTTAATAATTTTTATAACTAAATTTATAATTTATTAACATTTTTTACCATCATAAAATTGAATTGAGAGAAAATTAACTTACCTAATACATGATATTAATGATTTTTATATTAAGTTTAACATTTATCAATATTTTTTTTACGTTCATGAAAAACTAAATTTACATGTTTTGAAAGAAAAAATCAAAGACTAATAATTATAATTTAAAAACAAAGAAACAGAAAACAAGTAAGTGAAAATGCACATAGGAATGATAGATTAAAGACATTACAGAGAAGTTAATTAAAGATAAAAGTTTTGTATTGGAGTTAGGGCTAAACCAACCTTAATCTTGACCTTAACCCACGTAAGAGGGGCTCTAGGGGTTAGACTATTAGTTAATCTGATGTGAAAATAAACTCATACTTATTAGTTCTTTGAGAAGGCTAATTAGATTAAGATGGATCTTATTGTACTGATATTACATTCTTTCATTCTTTCAAGAAATTAAATTAATAACACCTTACACTTTTATAAACATTGGATTTAACCAATGTTGGACACATTCGTTGGTTTGGCTTCTGAATTGGGTCATGACCCAACAGTATGAGGAACATTAATCATTAGCTTGAAAAATGAATACGAGAAAACAGAAAGTGTTTGATGAAGAATGTGTCCCAGACCAGCCTGGCCTTGAATGTGTGCCTACCACTGACTCGCATGCATTACCCTGCCTCCACTGGTTTGTTATCTAAAAAGCGAAGCTACCATATTCGACCCAGTGGGGAAAATAAAAGACTGTAACGTTGGAAGTCCCACGACGGAATAAGGCCAATTTATAGTTTATAAGTGAGTGCAAACCTCATCTTATAAACTGATTTTGTGGATTGAGTTAGATTTAAAGTTCACTTTTATATATTACATGTAATGCAGCTGAACATGTGCACATGTTGTCATGTTTATGGTTACGGAAATATGTACACACTCAGACACATTACTGTTTAGTGCTCAACATCAAGATAATGAAAAGAATACCTCTCATTTTGGAGACAGAGCTGCTTTTCTTGGCTAGTTTTGGTTTGAATTTCTAAACTTTTAAACGTGACCATTCTCATAGATAACTGAAGTTTCACTTGAATATAACAATGCTAAAATCACTTAAAGAAACTACATATAAATTACTTGGAAACAATTCAACTTGAGCAATCAGTAAACACAAATCAACAACAACAAAAACTGCATTCCATTCACCAATCTAACTAGACAAACATCATAAACAAGCTTGACATATACATTGCACTAATACAAACTCTTACATACCAACAGGTGGGGTGATGGAAGAGAAGAAACTAAGAGTAACATGTTAATTTTCATCTAACTCACGTTGAAGGAAAAGATGATTTTGGAGATTGCCATAGCTGTGCATTCTTCACCTTTGACACACTTGCCAGAACCTCTAATGGCGTCACGTCTCCGATTACTGTTACTTTCTTAGCCTCCATGTCTATACTGAATGATGTTACTCCTACACTCACATAATTGCAAAAAAAAAATGTATATTAGATTCATCAACATAAACTTTGACCCTATTTAGCCATTGAAGAAACCATAAACCCCATAAAATGCATTAGCACTCGCTGTATTTTGCGTGCTTAAATATGTAACAAGATTTATGTCTGATAAATCATCACTGCTATGAACATTTTGAACAGTTTCTTACTTAACCCAAATACACAGAAAATAAGGAATTAAATTTATATAAATTTAGAAACACTTTTTCCTTAGCTTTTCTATGAACTACGGTGGATATGTAAACCGACCTTCCATTTTTGAGATGTGTTTTCTAACTTTTCCTTCACAGGCTCTGCAGTGCAATGACACCCTCAACACAACGTGGTTCTGCAGGGTGGGCTTGTGTGAAGGAATTTGATCAGAGTCAGACACCCAATCACCGAGGAGATATAGTGTGGAAGATGATGAACCACTGGAATTCTTACTGCTAGAAAAATTAAAATTACTGACGGAACCTTTTCTGCGCGCGTCACTGTGAGGCAAAGGGTTGATAGGTAACATGGATGAACAAGGAAGACGAGGTTGGATTTTCCTTCTAACACCGGAGTGCCTTTTGGTGCTTCTACGTACTGTGGAAGCAGTGGAACAGCAGAACAATTTCATTCCTTTCATGGCTGTGATAATATTTGTGTGAACAAACCCTTCAATGCAGTGAAGAATTTGAAGAGGTTGCTGAGTGTTGCAAAAGAGTCATGCAACTGATACCATAACTTGCTTTTGATTTTGAACTTGAAACAGGAAGAGAAGGGAAAAAGGAAAAGTTGAACGAAAAAAAAATTAGCAATAGTACGTTCCACTACTGCAAAGTAGAACTGGGTCAGCTCAGTTCCATTAAAATGTGTGTGCTGTATTACATCTTTAGACTTTTCCATAAAGAACTTGACTTCAATATATCATCCCTTAGAAAATTTTGAAGAATGCTTATAATACTTCACATTCAATTCTTTGAATTTTGAGCATCCGCATTTTAATAAAGCTGTCAAATGGCTGCTGCATATTCATCTTGATCACTACCAACTTTTATCTTAATTTATCAGTTTTTTATGCGTAAACTTCACCATTATATAATCGACCAGGACAGAGCAATTGCATCTTTTGTTAGGCAAAAGGGCATGCATGGCGCATTTATAGATCAATGATAACGTGTATTGCGTAATCTACCATCACAATTGCATATGTTTTAGACAGAGATTCTTTGTTTATTTTAAACGAAAATTGAATACGTAAAAGTATTGCGGATAACGTACTAGTGCACATGCACTGTCGTTAATTTCTGGTTGGATGCAAAACAGAAACGTTCATTAATACTTTTAATACATTGCTTTAGCTGTGGTTCGGACAGTGAGTTCAATAATATAAACACTCTTTTCAAGATGATGTGTCTCCTTCATGTTTAAACACTCCCATTTTCAAGATTCTGAAAATGAACAGATGAATTTTTGTTTCCTCAGAGAAACAAAAACATTTTATGACAAAAACAAAACTTCAGTAATTGGAAAAATGTCTGAGCCCGGGTTCGAACCGGGGACCTCTAGTGTGTGAGACTAGCGTGATAACCAACTACACCACCCAGATTGATTTGGCAAAGTTGTTTTTTAATGGTATATAATACCAATAAAAAATGTTATCAACATACTTAAATAATTTTTAACGAACTATTATAAAAACTGAAATAATTTATTTTAAAAATAAAATAGAAAAGTACTGGAGGGATATTTTTTTACTTCAATTTTTCTAAAATAGGGGTGTAAATTTAGAAACAAAACGGTGTGGAATAACAAAATACACTGTTCTCTGGGTTATGGTTCAGGCCCAGATCCACTTGATATGTTAAACTTTGTTATGATTTTGTGGATTAGGGTTTAGTAAGAAAAAGAAGCAGTGCAACCGAGTAGGTAGGGTTTCTCTCTCTTTCGATCCTCTTATCAGCGCCAGGCGACCTTCGAATTAGCAATGGGTACGATTCAAACTATCTCTGTCTTCGCTTCTTCGATGCTGTTTCATTCGATACGGTTACGATTTCGTTTATGTATTTATATTCTAATTTGTTCTGTGCAATGCAAAAGCGAGAATCAAGGTGTACGAGCTGAGGAACAAAACAAAAGCAGAGCTTCTGAACCAATTGAAGGATCTCAAAGCAGAACTCGCTCTCCTCCGCGTCGCTAAGGTCACCGGCGGGGCCCCAAACAAGCTTTCCAAAATGTGCCTTCCTTCTCTTTTTGATTTCATTCAAATCCTTAATTCCTAATTCAATTCAAATTAATACGAATATTCATGCATTTGTTGTGTGAATGCAGCAAAGTGGTCCGGCTTTCGATAGCGCAGGTGCTGACGGTGATTTCCCAAAAGCAAAAGGCAGCGTTGAGGGAGGCTTACAAGAACAAGAAGTACCTTCCTTTGGATCTGCGCCCCAAGAAGACCAGGGCTATCAGAAGGCGCTTAACTAAACATCAGGTACCATTCATGTTTCGTTCTTCTGTTCTTTTTCCCTGCTCTACTGGGTTTTTGGATAGACCCTTGAAAAGTCTATCAAATTGGTCCCTGAACTATATAAAAATTTACCGACTTGGGGACATAAACTAATGAATATTCAATACACGTGGATAAATTTTATATACTTTTATTACTCCAAGAACTGTATAGGGGAGATTATTATCTCAGCTCAGGGAGGGACTGAATTGATAGCTATCTGTTATGTGTGTAAGGTTGATGGATGAAAAAGTGAAAAGGATGAAAAGTAAAGAGATAGTGTATCTGGAGAGGATTAGATTGTGTAATGGCTCGAAATTGCTGGCTGTGTTTCAATGAGTGTAGAAATAAGGGCGTACTTGATAATCATTGATTAAAAAAATCATAGGATTTGAAAGTGTCTAGAAATGGTGTATGTTTACAACGTTTTCTAATTGCATTCCTCATGCTTTTTTCCAAATAGTCTGTTTTGAGCTTAGCTAAAACTTTTTAATCTGAAGGGCATTAGGTGATAGGTTTGAGCATTTTTAGATATCAAATTGGAACTGTATTGGTTTACATATTCTCTTGTCTTCAACGAACTATCTTTTTAGCTGGATTGGTGGTTAAATGAAATACAACTATTGTATTAAGCTGTACATTCTATCATGATGATGATTGTAGATTGAAGAATTATAGTTCAGGTGGCATCTAAGTATGGTTTTTGCTGTTATGCGTGCATTATAAAACGTACACATATATACCCAAGCATATAGCTAGTTCCCAAGGTTACATTGTGCAAATGGCAATCCATTATTCGGCTTGATGCCTGTCTTCTGGACCTTTCAATAAATAATTAGATGATGACTGATTGTTTTCT